TAAAAATTATGATGAAATGCAATTAATGTGTTATATAAAGACAACACAGAAAAACAAGCAAAATAAAATGAAAGCCAAGAGCATGCATTGACTTCTACAGTGTTCCTCTACTGGTACTGAGATTATGAATTCTTGTAAAACAAAATTTGATTTGCAAGAAATTTAGTAGGCAGCTTGTCATTGCTAAAACTATTATCCAGAGATACTGAAAGGACATTACCTAGGTGTTGCTGTGTGAAATATGTAAACAGCTACAGATCAAAGTGTTTGCTGCCTAACATACAGATAAATAGATTAGGAAACAGTGATTTGCTGAAGACAGGACAAGCAGAACAGGACTGGGTAAAGAAGATTGCAAGAATCTGCATGGCCTATGACTCCTTTTCTGCATACTTTGGAACTATACTCCACCACGGTTGCTGAAAATGGGATGGGGAATCTATGAAAGAAATCCTAACTCTGACCATACGACCTTGCCCAATTTATATCACTGATCTGCCTGAATTTCTTTGTAGAAGTACAAACCAAATGTTTGGGTGTCTTATATTCTGCAAGCAATGTACTATTAACAGTAATTTGGAATGGAATTCAATCTGCTTTTTCTACCTCTGAAATGCAATATTCCCAAAATTGGCTCAATGTGTTCACCACCATCTACAAGAATGGTAAAGAAAACTATATCCCCTCCTTCCAATTATTATCTTTTCCATCATTACTATTTGATTCCATTGTAAAACAATATGAAAAACAGAAGGAAAACAAAAACTAAGTTTTATTCATTTTCTTTGCCCTGTTGCTTCCCTGATTTATGAGAACCAGTACAATCAGTAAGTGAAGCCTTAATCGCTTGCAGGAGCAAGGAGATCAAAGTCTTTATTAACCATTACCATAGCATGAACCAAATAAGCATATTCATAGTTAAACATTTAAAAGATCTGTCGTAATCATTTTCATAGCTACTGTAGGCTGTAAGGATACAACTCAGAATTATTGCTGTTGTGACTTTATGGTACTAATTTATTTTCAGGGCTTACAAGACATGTAGATGAAGTGCATCAAGCAATGCTGTTAAGTCTTTCATCACAAATTACAATTACCATGATTCCAAAAATACTTTAATTGGCATACTTAAAAGAAAAAGGCATCCAACAGGCATCTCAGTCATAAAACAAGCCACCCACTTCACTGGGTAAAGCCTTTGGAAGCAAGTACTTTAATGATACTTCAAAAGTATGCTTAAGGATTTGCTTCTGAAATTGGGTGCTAAGTGTCAGATCTGTAAAACAGAATACAGTATTCCCCTTCTCAATGTATTATGTCCTATACCCTACTTTTTTTCAGCACCAATATTTGTTCACAACACAGTATTCTATATAATGTAAATAACTGAATGGAAAGACTAAAACAATTAGAACACTAATTCAGCACTTACATTATAAGAAGCAACCATCTCTGTCACCAAATTGTGTGGAGAAACACTTCTATTGATTCAATATGAATCAATTCTTCACAACATTTGAGGGAAAAATATCACCAATCTCAGGATTTAATAGAGGAGTATCCCAGAGTCAAACTATTGTTCTGTCTAGGAATGGACCTTTTGTGCTGTGGGCTGAACTCAACATTTGGAAAAGGGGCAGCACTGTACAGGGCAGAAGTGGCATAAATTGGGCATGACTGTATCATGCAGGCATGGCTAAGGTTTATATTTGAATTTCGGGGGGCAGGGGTCTTTTTCCTTCTGGCTTCTCCCTCAACAATTTGATGCCACTTTGCCAATGACCTTAGCTGATTCTTTGGTACCTGGTATGGGCAGTATCACACGCAGAAAGAATCCTCCCTGCAGTTCTACCAAGTTAAAAGGTTAACCTAACTGATAACTAGGATGTTGCTGTGCCATTGGCCTGGGGAAAGAAGTGGTGTCGTTGGCAACAACGGCCAACCGAACATTCTGGGCCCACAGTTAAATGCTGCATGATGAGTTCTGGGTTTTCTGCACAGATTCTGCAGTTGTTTTAACTGGCAGCTGTAATTTCATGAAGCGGCAACGGACAGATAAAGCAGGATCAGGCAATCTAATGCACCCGCACATTTTGGACCGCTATTGCTGTTGGCCCTGCTAGGGGGCTGCTGGGAGTCGGCGGCCAGCGCTTCTGGAAGAGATCACGCTATGCACTGACTCCTTAACTGGCATGACTGCCTTACTTTAAAAGAGCCTTCCTCATCACCCTGATTTTATTTGAATCAATTTGTAATGGTATTTTTCAACGTTTTTAGCTTAGGAAAAAAATCAGAGAGCCTGACCGCAAAATACCCACGAACGAAACAGCCTCGCACTCCGTGCATCCGATGAACCGAAGTTCCATCACCAAAGCTTAGATAACGAGCAGCAAATATCGTTTCATCATATTCGCTTTGTCGAGAACCCTACATAAGAAACGGAACCCTCTTGACGACATGAAACGACGACTGTCTATTCGTCAGTAGACTTCGCAGCGTGAACGAGGAGTCCACGAAACTCATTCAAACAGCGCCGCGACACAGAGGG